TATTTATTTTTTTTCTTTTACAATGTATAGGACAACTTCTTGAGCAGACTCTTTTTCTTTTTCTGCTTTTCCGAATATCTGAAGAGGATGGTAATGGTAAAGTCTATAGATAAAGTAAATTTTATTAATATAACTATTATTTCTCTTATTGTTAATACTATTTATACTTACGGATTTTTTCAATAAAGATTCTATATTATAATTAATCCTCTCTTTATTCCGGGGATTACGTTGCCAGGGTAATTTAGGTGCTTTTCTTTGAATAGAACTACCGGCAATATTATTAACATTATTAACATTATTATTAACATTATTATTATTAGCACTATTCTCTTCATAATTATTAATATTATCATCATCGTCGTGATCACCATAATCATTATAACCATTATTGTTGTTTTCATTATTATTATTATTATCATTAACCCGTTTTTTATTCCGACAAGGCACCACTCTTCTTTTTTGTCGAATAGAAGCACCAACAACGACGCTAAAATTATTATCATTGTCATTATCACTGTCATCGTCATAATCACCATTATCATTATTAACACTATTATCGTAATAATCGCCATTGTTATCATTACTACCATTATTAGTATTGTTGTCATCATTAGAACCTGTACCATTATTAGCATAATCAATTGCGGAGGATGATTGCATAGCAGTCAAATTTTTATCAATTGCAGAGGACGATTGTATAGCAATCAAATCTTTTTCAATTGCAGAGAACAATTGCACAATCAAATCTTCATCTAAATTTGAACTATCTTTGGGGTGTATTTTCTGTTTATTCAAAATTCTGGTAAGCTCATCTTCTTTCATTTTTATCTCATTATTTATTTTCGAAAGATCATAAAGAATACGTTCTTTTTCTACTTTACGCTCTGAAATATCTCGTCTCTAATTCTAGAAGAATAATTAGAATAAGTTTAAAGCTGATATATAATACAAAATAAATGGTTTACTTACTATTTTACACTCATTAATTACATCGTTCCAATAATCCTCGAAATCATAACGTTTTCGATCTTCACTAACCTATTATAAGAAATACATTTATTATGTTAACAGTGTGTAATTTTTTATTTAGTGGTGAGGCATGCCAGAAATCAAATGATTTATAGTATAGAAAGAGAGAGAGCGAGAGAGCGAAAAAGCGAGAGAGCGAGAGAGCAAGCGAGAAAGAGAGCAAGAAAGCGAGAAAGCGAGAGAGAGCGAGAGAGAGAGAGAAAGACTAAGAAATCAGATGATAAAAGGCATGCCCAAAGGAAGACACATAGTCGATTCTTTCTCCGGAATTAGCAGACCTTTACCAAAGGCAAAGTTAAGGTGCTCGAATAGAGAACTTGGGGCTGATTACCCAAGTTGTCATACCTGGTAATTCTCTTAGGCAGTGCGCGTGTAGCGGTCCGACTAGAAGTTACCTTAACCTTGCAAAATAAAAAAATACACACCTTATTATTTAAATCTTCGCCACGTTTTCTCGCCTCTCTTATAAAATTAGTGGCCCAGTTGTCATCGAGATCCTGTCTGCGAGAAGTAGCTGAAGCGGTAGTGACAATTGTGTCTCGACAATGATGTAGAAAGCCCCAAAAAGATTTGTCTTTGCTTCGCGTCAAATATGACGTAAGTTTTTCGTAACTGAGATATTTTTGTTCGGAAGTCATGGTATAAAAAACTTGGTAAAAATATAGCTTTGTTGAGGTGTAAGAAAAAAATACAAGAATCGTAAAAAAAACGAGATCTCTTAAACACGTAGTTTCCCCCTAAATAACGCGTATACTCGAGCCATGTGTTAATTTATCGAAATTGGTATCTTACACTTCACGTTACATATGCATTGGAATTTTTCTTCTGTGATACATGTTATTGATATGTCGCATAACCAGATAATGCATTACAGTTTATAAACTGTAGAAGGTTCGATCAGCATTGGTAAAGTTTGATTTTATTGGTTGATGATGATCAACATA